CGAAAGAATTCATGAAGCGCTTTGGGCGTATCGCACCACTTATCGGACTCCCACTCAAGCGACCCCGTACTCACTTGTATATGGTGTTGAAGTTGTCGTTCCTCTCGAGCAACAAATTCCATCATTAAGGATCGCCATACAAGAAGGGTTGACTGAAGAAGATAATGCACGACTGCACCTTCAGGAATTAGAAGCTCTTGATGAGAGGAGGTTGGAAGCGCAACAAAGACTTGAATGTTATCAAGCTCGTCTCTCAAAGTCGTTTAATAAGAAGGTCCGAGCTCGTTCTTTCAAGTAGGAGATCTGGTGCTTGCTGTGAGAAGACCCATCATAACTACTCACCGTGTTGGGACAAGTTCGTGTCAAGATGGGATGGACCGTATGTCGTCACGGAGGTCTACACCAATGGCGCGTACTGATTTCCGAGGATCGAGTGAAGATTGGCCCTATCAATGGGAAATTCTTGAAACGCTACTACGCTTAGTTGTACTATGTGTTAATTTAAGAAAATAATAATAAAAAAAATCAGAAAAACCAAAAAAAAACCAAAAAAAAAAAAGAAAAAGAAAAAAAAAATACTCCTGACCCGCATGAGTATAAACTGTGAACGGTAATCACCAAAAAGTTTTGCATGTGATTAAACTGCTAAATTCTCCACCAATGTGAATATATGTGGTTAAACTGTTAATTCTCCCACTAAGGTGTTATGTGGTTTAATCTAATACTCTACTTTATCTAAAAGTAGTTAAAGAATAGTCACTCTTGGCCCGCATGAGTATAAACTGTGCACGGCATCCCCCCCCCCTAAACAAATCCATGTTACTTTGAACTACGTTATGAGTTGATCCTTTTAAAAGGTACGTAGGCAGCTTAGATATTTTCTAAGTTCAGTCATAAATCATATTCGTCTAAGTTGGTCAATTTTGATTGATTTGGCGAGAAAATGAAGTGCAACAAATTGTAATGTTCGAGATTGAGATTGCACAGTGCAGAAAGAAACAAATCATTCTATTCCATAGCCTTGAGTCTTATTACATGAAGAAATAAACAGAAGTTTCTAGCTTTTCTTTAATCGCCCTCATATTTGTCTTCAACATGTTCAACTGTTAAGCCACTTCTTCGTATTGGAGCACTGCTGATGGCGAGGATCTCCCCTTAATGTTAACTTCACCTTGGCCTTCGCACTGTCGAATGACTCCTGTTGCTGCTTCAATATCTGAGATAGTGTTTCTGTCTTCGTCTTCAACTGCTCAAGCTCTTCCGTGACTCGCTCTAGTTCAGCCTGAGTGGACTTTACTTGATTCGATTCAATATCCTCTTTCGTCTTATCTTCGCAAAGACGCTCTTTAGCTTCGGTCAACTGTCGAGGAATATGTTCCTTCGTCGCCTTCTCCGAAGACTTCAACCGTACTCTATCGTAAGAGTCGGCGTTGTCGAACAAAACTTTCAATGAGCTCTTGATAACGGAGAAGATTGGTTGGACTTTGTGGTCATCTGGAAGGAAGGTCACATCGACGGTTGATGGGTCTGGTCATCTTCGAGACGTGAACCTACGGCACAAAAACTGTGGCCACGGTCATCTTTGACCTTTCCGGTGAGATGTGTCGTCCTAAGTTGATGTCGTGCGGAAAAGTCGATTCCTTCATGCAGCTTGGCCGGCGAGATGTGACGTCCTAAGTTGATGTGCGGCAAGGTTGCTTCTTCCTTGCAGCTTGGCCGGTGAGATGTGTCGTACTAAGTTGATGTCGTGCGGAAAAGTTGATTCCTTCATGCAGCTTGGCTGGTGAGATGTGACATCCTAAGTTGATGTGCGGCAAGGTTGATTCCTCCGTGCAGCTTGGTCGGTGAGATATGTCGTCCTAAGTTGATGTTGTGCGGCAAGGTTGATTCTTTCATGCAGCTTGACCTTTGAGTGTGTCATCCTAAGTTGGCGTTGAGCGAGAATGTTGATGGTTCCTCCGTGCAGCTTGGACTTTGAGATGCGCTATGACGTTGAGCGGCAAAGTTGATTCTTCTGTGCAGTTTGTCCTTTGAAAAAGTTGTCCTAGCATTGGCAATAGCTCCATCTCTCGTTGAGTTGAGTTGGTTGTGGTTGCTTGCAATATCCATGTTGTAGACTTCTAGTAGGTATACTCTCGAGTCCACTTGACTTGCTCATGTGAAGAGACTTTGTAACTCTTGGCCACGTCCACGAGAAATCACCAATGATGGGGTCTTCGAGTCTCTTTCTCCAGCGGTTGGTGTTTGTCGTCGAGAACCAATAGATATGTTTTCCTCGGATGGAAGTGCTCGTGAGAACAACCTCAGTTAAGCCCGAACAGCCCCCGATCAGCCTCGTTTCAGTCCGGACAGCTCCCGAATCACTTTGCTTCAGCCCGTTTCAACTCGGATAGCTCCCGTGGAGCCTCGTGTCAGCCCGGCAGCGGCAAGAGAGCTTTCATTTCAACCCGATCAGCCCGATCAGCCCCCGATCAGCCTCGTTTCAGTCCGGCAGCAGCCAAACAGCCTCGTTTTAGCCCGGTAAACGCTCGGACAGCGCGTAAGAAGCCCCGAGCAGTCCGGTGAACATCCCCGAAGAGTAGCCGAGCCGCCCGAGCAGCAGCTTGCAGCCTCGTGAAGTCCGGACAGCAACTCGAGTTATCAAATGCTTTGGTCCCTCACGTTCAAAACTTCTTATAGCACCATGACTGAAGCAAGTAATACCTGCTATGCTTGTTGATAATGTGTATGTACTCTCGAAATCTCTTGTGCAATGTTGGTTGCTGCAATGGAAAAAGATAAGAAGTGTTAAAAAAAAAAAAAAATGCAGCAAGCACAGACGTGACAGAATATATAGAAGAAAGGCATGAGGATACCTTTCGGACAATAGATCGAACGCCTGGCAGCCGTAAATTCAGGAGATGGATGCTTGCAGACTCTTCAATGTTGTCTTACCGATCGTGAAAAGAGAAAAGCAACCAGCAACACCAAGTAATCCAACAGTCAAAAATAGAGGGATGAAAGAAAACAAAAGAAAGAGAGAGAGAGAAAGAGAGTAAAGAGAAGAAGAACACAAAAAAAAAAGAAGGAAGTATAGCACCGGCTTGTTTGATGAATGAAGTCGCAGTTGATACCTGTTTTATAGCAAGGAATTCCTGCAAGTTTAGGAAATTTCTTTTCCTCTCCTAGAAGGAATCTTGGTGTATCTCGGGATTTCTCACATTGAAGGAAAATCTACGCGCAAGTTTTGTTGGAAGTTTGGAAACAAATTTTGACTTAAGATGTAAAGTGCCTCTGTCATCTATGCATTTAAATGGATAAAGGCTTTGGGCCATTTGATACACATGACAAGTTTAGCGATTTGGGTCACTTGGACCTTGTAAGTCCATATCACGTCTTCCAAGCCCGATAAATGATGTCGCGACTAATTCACACCAAGACACGTCGTCCGTGAACAAGTCTCGAGGGGGCATTCGTAGAGACATAAAATTTGTGGCCAATCAAATGGCGCCACGTGGAAATTAATTTATTAAAAATCAAGTCATATTTTCTATTTATATTTTAGGAATTTTCATATATTTAATTCTTAAATTTAAAGAGTTAATTAATTGATATTTTAATATTTTAATTCTTGACCAATCAAATATTGCCAAGTGTCAAATCTTAATTCTTGGTAATAAATCACATGTCTTCTAGAAGATCAAGAGATCTAAATGGATCTAAAAGATCTTATGTGAATCATCATGGACCAATCAAATCGCGTCCTACGATTCTTAAATTTGGTAGGGTTCTCCCTCCTACACCTATAAATAGGGGTTCTCCCTAATGTCAAAAAACACACCTCATAATTCATATTTAAGTTCAAGAGCTCTAGAGAATTCTCTCGACGAGATTCAAGTGTTCTTGAAGATTCAAAGGCGTTTTTTAAGATTCGAAGCAAGATTCAAGCGTATTCAACCTCAAGACTGGCGTTCAATTCGGAAACAAGCTGCGAAGCCTCCGAATAACGTTAGTAAATTCAAAACCGGCGTGAAAAAGATTTAAGATCTACTTTGCGATGAAGACCAAGGATTCGTGTTCTTCGCGTTCTTGGGATATTTCGACGTTTGATCCGAAATCAAGGCGTTGACCCTCGGATTAACGTTAATTCAAGTCAAATCAAGTCAAGGAGAAGATCAAGCCGAAGATTTCACTCCAAGACTTAAAATAGTTCGTGAGAAAAATCAGAGGAGAAAATAGAGATTGTAACCCACTATATTTATTTTGATTCGAGAAATTTATTTGAATAATATTTTCGTATTTATAAATTCAATACACGAAATTTGTTGTTACAATCCTATTGGCATCTTTCCCTATTACAAAGACTTTTCGTCTTGCAGATTTGAAAAATCGAACAGTCAAAAATAAACTTTGGAAAAAAAAACAGTCAAAAATAAATGAAAGGTGCTTTCAAACATAGCAATAAAAAGTATCGATCACTTAAAATGACAACAAGCATAACCATTTCTACGGGTCCTTTCAATTTTGAGAATTCACTAAAATATATCCAACATAAATCGTGTCCTATCCATATACATATTATCTTTCTATTTTGCACATCTTTAACAAATAGGGCAAATCAAGAAAACTAAAGAATCATTCATAATAAGGATCACATATATACATATAGATTTAGAAAATCAAATCTCAATTTCAGTTACCAATGAATTCAAATACATTTCCGATACGCTAAAAGTCTTGATCCATGAAACGACAAACTAGCTAGTTAATTGGCTAGTCTCTATAAATACCAAAGCCTCAGATGCTTTATTTCATCAACTAATATTGTATATAAGGCAAGCCTATACTTCATACATGCTAAACTAAAGAATGGTTTGCTCTTCACAATATTATCTTTCCTTGTTCCTCCTCCTTCTCCTCTCTCTCTTTTCCACTCTCTCTTCCTCTCACTCCCACTCCATAACCCTATCCCTCACCTCCCACACAAAGCACCACCACCCGTCCGCCGCCACTGACCGCCTATGGCAACAGCTACGTGAGATTTCCGCCCCAAAATCCCCTAAATCTCCTCCATCTCACCCCTCTTCGCCAGCCGAGATGGCGTGTACACTTTCCTCAGCTTCGGCACGCCTCCACAAACCCTTTCGTTTGCCCTCACGAGTAGCGACGACCTCACCTCTTTTCCTTGCGGGGCCAACTACACGTGCGTAAAATGCACGATCGACCCCAAGGATATTCTCGTATTCAAGCCCGATCAATCCAACTCGTCGTCTCTGTTATACTGCGACGACCCGTTACTGAATAACACCATCTCCTCGGATCTAATCCCGGTTTACACCCAATGCATCTCGGACGACTCGTGCTCCCATGCTCTGGCAGAGTACGCCGACGACGAAGATGGCTCGATTGCGACGTCAGGTGTAATTTTGTCCAAGACGCTAACCCTACCCAAAGGAGCGAATGAGTCGTCGGCCAAAAAGCTCAATCTCCTCGTCGACTGCACCTCTGAGTCGGAGGGATGGCCGCAAGGTATAGGGGTCGCCGGGTTCGGGCGCGTCCTTTTGTCACTCGCGTACTAACTCATCCTCACGAATTTCGCACATTGTTTCGTCTCCAAGAAGTACGAAAGCAACCGAAACGTAAGCGGCACTCTGGTTCTCACTTGGGGGGGAGATAACGACGAAGAAGATCAAAACAAAGAAGATTCCAACAAAGACATACACTACACACCGTTGAGAAAGCTCACGAACGCGACGTGGCAAAACGCGTGGCGTAGAGAAGATTGTGGTCGAGGGAGTCGAGGTGAAGGTCCCGACGAAGTCTTTGGCCGCGGATGAGAATGGAAACAGGGGAATGATGGTGGAGGCCGGGTACACGGTCTCGGTCATGGACGAACGCGTGTTTGAACCGTTGGTGTGGGAATTTGAGAAGCAAGTCGGGAAGAATTACACAAGGGCTAAGGAGGTGGAGAAGGAGTTTACGCACAAACCGTGTTATAATATCGATTCCAAGGGTATAAAGGGTATAATGCCGAAGATGGGTTTTCGTTTCGAAGGAGGGGCCGAGTTGGTTGTGCTGGTTGAGAATTACTTTAGGTATTGGAACGAGTCGGTTATGTGCATGACGATATGGTCGGAAGATAATGAGATGAAGGCGGGAGATGAGCTGGACGGGCCTGCGATGGTGTTAGGTCAGTGGCAGATGCAGAATGTTTACGTGGAATACGGGTTGGCCCACAATCGTCTTGGTTTCCTGCACAAAAATTGCTCGCAAAGTTCTTAAGTGAAATATTATATTCAGGCGTTGTTATATTATCTAACGTCAATAGTATCTATCTGTATGTGTGTGTACCTGTGTTGAGAATAAGGTTTGTTATAGTTGTGGAGAAAATAATTGTCGGAGCAAATAGAGTATGGTAGTTTTAAATGTTATGTTATGCGTGTGTTCCAATGTGTTCCTTGTTACAACTTGTTTCTTTCGAGAGTGTATTTGTGGTAGATGTCAGCTTATTACTGTGACGTGATTATTAATGTGTTTTCTATTATATTA